GGAGGGGTGGGGCGAGATGAGGCGGGATCCAGCGCCCCACCCGGGGCACGACGGGCAGGGGGCAGGCACCCCTAGGCGTAGTAGGCCTGCAATCCAGTCCGGCCCAGTCGCAGTCCTCCCCTCCCCACCAACGCGCTTCCAAGAGGAGCTCAATGGAATGGAAGATTTGGCCCGCCAGAGCCGCGTAGCCGACCGGACCGGCCGGGCGGGCTCTGGCGTGGCGTGGCGAGCCGCGGCAGGACCAAAACAGTACGGGGAAAAAAATACATCGAGACGGGGACGGGATCACAGCCAGCGTACTTGAAGCTGCAACACAGCTGTATGTCCAGGCTGGTTTGACATGCACGGCTGAGGGAAAATTTTGGTTGCGCCCATTGTTCGAGTTGTCCGATGAACAATTTTTTTTTTCTGTCCCGGAAACTTTTGTTTCGGTTACAGCTACGAAAATTTAATCAGGATGGATCGAACAACATCATTTGACGGTGGATATCAGAGATTTTAGGATTTTGTTGACTGCTGCAAAAAAAATCTCGTAGCATGGGAGGACGATCGAGTGGGGGTGGGGACGGCATTTACGAACGGCACTAAAAGTAAGATTTGACACTGAATTTTCTAGGACCATGTGATGATGACCGATGACCGTGCCCCTGACCCGGCCCCTTACTTATTGTTTGCAGTCCACATAGATGGGTGTTGCTGTGGTAGCTATAACGGACTCTTTAACGAGAAATGCGCCGCGATGTCCGCTGCTAGCAATCGATTGTCATTCCATTGCGCAGAGCTCTGGCGTGCGCCTCGGCGTGCGCTACACGCACACGAGCCGAGCGAGAGGAAGGCGCGTGTCCAGCTCCAGCAGGTCCAGCAGCCCCGTGCGCCCCAAGGTCGTGGTGTAGCCAACGCTGAGCAGGCGAGGGCCGTAACCCAGTTCGGACTCTCGCGCGCGGAGCAGGCTGCTCCGCCGGGGGGCGCGGCGGGGGCAGCGGCCGGCACAGCCGCCCGGAGCGGGCCGAAGTGTCTGGAACGAGCGGCCGGCCCGGCGTCCCCGGCTGTCGCGGCAAGGCTCGCCACAAAATGCCTGGAAAGAGAGTCAAAGCCAGCAGGCGCAGCAGCTACGACGGGGCGTTATTTGCACGGGGTGGGGTGGG